TAAGATTCTCCTTCAAGCAACCCATTCCTTAGAGAAAGCGTTGAAAAAGATAAGGGGGAAGATAATCTCAGCCTGTCATCTTTATTTCTTACTTGTTTTGAATGCTCCATTCATAACAGTTTAGCACATAGTTATTTCTCATCAGTATCTAGAACAGTAGCCAAGTATCTTCCCCTTAAGCAGAGTTTTACTTCTTCACTTTCTGTACAGCTTTAGTTGAGTTCTGAAGTGTTTGCCAGAAATATATTAAAGTTTTATTAGCATTCATTATATGTGGTTCTGTCTTTCTAAAATTAAAGTTATATGAAGGTTCTAATTATACCTTTTAATCTTAAGTCTATTTGTTGTATTTTCGTGGGTGAGACTAATAGATATCTCTTAGATGGAACAGTAGGAGTGGGTTTCAGGTTTTGCTTTAATTTGCAGAGGCAGCATCTCACGTTTGGTTAACACTGGGAACAGCTCTGACTGTTGTTCTTACTGGTGATCAATTCTGTTATCAGCAATCTTTCTTCTTGCCTCAAAATTTTAAGATTTTTTTTTTTCAGTTGTCCTGAACCCACAAAATTGACTGCACTTAAGTGAAAGCACCTACCTAGTCTCTCAGTTTGGCTCACTCATTATGGAGTGGGCTGTGAAGAACATGTTTACTTTGCTTATAGTAGTTGGTTTTGTTAGATAGAAATGTCATATTATTGAGTTTATGCTAATATTCTCCCAGGTAAACATCACTTGATTAGCCAGTATGTATGTTGCTGCGTTCCATCGGCAGCTTTTCTCTGTGGAGTAACTAATGTGCATTTCTTCTCACTACTCAGACACTGATTTTCAAGAAAACATGAAACTTCCCCAAACCTAATTTATTTGTGATCTTTCTTAAGAAAAGTTGGTTGAAATAAGCTAAGAGGGTTAATACAAGTTCTGGGAAAGAGTGGGATAAAGAAAACAAGGAGAATATTGAACAAATGGACAGACAGACAAAATGCTTAGAATTATTTGTGTTTTCCTGTTGGTGAGATCACTGACAGACAAAACTGGATGATGATGGTGATTTACAGAGGTGGATTCAATGTCCTGTGAAAAAATGCACTCTGACATGTCCTTTTCTTAACTCAGAACATGCTCTTAGTTTGGACCATTTTACTGAGTATGTTTTACTACATCTTACTATTTTAAAGCCTGTTTTCTAAAGCTGACTCATGTCTCCCTCAAACACTGTCAAGGTCAGTAGGTAGTGGTGAGATTTTACTTATCATAAAATTAGTCCAAAGTAGATCCAGTCTTTCACCCCACAATGACTTAGGGAATCTTTGTAGAATTTATGAATTTTTTTTGATACTGAGAGTCATAATTTTTTCTTTTATCAGACTATGAAGTCCAGAATCTCAAGGCTTCTTTGCATTGCAGAAAAGATGAATGTTTGCTGAAGGAAGAAGAGCATTATTTATTTTGTTACCCTCACCTTCCTACCTTCCTCCAGCTAACGTCTTATCTCTCCCTTACTTCTTTCAGCCAGCATAGCAAGCTGTGCTGTCTTCTTTGGGAATTATGCTGTCTTCTGCCTTTATTCACACTGCTTTCACTCAAGGGAAGCTTAGAAGCAAGAATTCATTGCTGAGTAAAAGTATTAAGAAGAGAGCACACGGATGCAAAGCCCTACATCCGAAGTTACCATGCAGAGTAATGGTAACTCAGAGTTACCACATCTGAGTCCTACACCTTTCTTTCTTGTCTTCTTCTTGAGCCCTTCCAAAATCTCCTTCTGACAATTTGCCCTGTCTTAATATCAAATTGAATTTTTTTTGTTTTTCCATTAAGATCAAGAGAGCAAAACACAGTTTTGTTTGCATATTTGAGGAGCTCTGTTGGCATTTCAGATTAGTCTGGGAGGAAACACTGAGCTGATGGGCTGAGTTGTCCTCTGTGAATGCTCACTCTCCTGGGGAGCATTAGCAACCAATCTACCTCTTCCAGTAAATGGAAAGCAAGCTGTCTTCTGTCCTGTACTGGAAGTGAGACAACTCTCCTTACACAGAAAAACTGTGAAACTAAGGTGAAAAACAGTGGGTTCTTCATGTTTTGTTTTGCTTTTGTTTTAAGCATAGGTGCTTTTCTCCTTCCTCTACTATAAAGATTAGGGAAAAATGCTTCTAAAAATAATAGAGTTAAAAAAGAACAAAGAGAAAGGATCTAATAAAACAGTGACTTCCCACAACCACTTGTGTTAAATGCTGCTAAAAGACAAGTAGCAAAGACTAATTCCTAACATGAGTGTTCCTGGAGCAGTAAGTGCTAGGATACACATGGTTTGTTTGTAGTAAGGGAATACACTGGAATCATTTCAGGAAATACTAATAACCGAGCAATTAATAAACAAGAATTGCAATATAGTTAGGCCAAATGTCTTTATGCAAACATTCTTTCCCTCAAATAAACCAACAGCCACAAAAAAAAGCCCTTGTTCAGTGTCAGGGCTGTACTAGTTGGACTTTAAAACAAGAAGATATCTCCAAAAAATCCTCAAATCAAAACACAAGAATAGAATCAGGGTACTAAAGTAAGTTGTGATGTTTTGAATATTGCTTGGAGTTCTGAAAAGTTTCTTTGCAGAGAGGGTGTTGATCTGTGGAAACACCTTCCCAAGACCCAGAACCTTAGCATATCACCTCCAATCTCCAAATTTTCTAGCTGTGTTTGAAGATGCCTGCACAGTGCTTTGTTTAGACTTGCTGATTTCTGAAAAATAGAAAGCCCCAATTTTACTAGCTTCACCTAAATTTGCCTCTATCACCACGTTGTAAAAAATGTAGAACAAACACTGAGTAAGGAACATATAAAGGTAAGTTTCAAATTATGTGTGGAAATGAAATTACAAACTGATAAAGAAATATAAAACTCAGTTCTGGATTACAGTTAACAAGACTCCTTGGTTACTGGCTGCTCAGTGCTCATCACTGAGCATTGAGTGTTCCTTCTGGAATATTTATAGAATCATAGAATGGTTTGGGTTGGAAGGGACCTTAAAGGTCATCTAGTTCCAATCCCCCCTACTGCGGGCAGGGAAACTTTCCACTAGACCAGGTTGCTCAGAGCCCCATCCAACCTGGATCTCTGGACCAGGGCTACCTCTTCTGGGCTTGATCTCTTGTGTAGTCTTGTAAAAGAATCCTGCTTCCTTTCAATACAGATATAGTATTTGGGACTTAACTGAAGGCTTGTATCTTTCAGTAGTGAAAATACTCCAGAGTGTCTTCTGAACTTTTCACCTTCCAGTCCTAGAAGACAGTTGGGGGTTTCTTTTGTGGTAGCTTTTAACAGCTTTTCCAGATCTGTGTGGCACAGTATAATTGTCCAGTGAGATAGTACATATTATAATGGCTGTTAATGTTTGACAGGTTTTGGCCTCTGTCCTTTTGTAGCATCTCAGACATATGTGGAGATCTTAAATGGTGCACTGCCATTAGAGGAGTCAGAGGGTGCCTAGACCAAACTGCCTTCCTTCTTCTCCTTGCCATGTAAAGCTTAGACCTTCTTTTGTCAAAGTGACCCACTCTAGTGAAGGTTGAGAAAAGACATGGTGTATTTGGTAATCTAGTTATGATACGATTCTCTTTGTCTTTTATTGTGGATTAAAAAAAATAAACAGAGTGAGAGAAAGCACTCCTTTTTTTAGGGAGATTGAAGCCCCTCTGACCTTGAGTGCATTGTAGGTCTTGCTTCTATGTACTGAAGCAGAATTGGATTCTTACATACCTGTAGATAAGTGAGGAAGGAGGAAAAAATGTAGATATTAGGAAAGAAAAACCTCAAATAGTTGAAATTCAAGAGGCCATTTCAAACAAGTGGACATAAGAAAGTGAAAATACACCCACTCTTTGAAGAAAGATGTGTAAATTATGCTAAGTAGGATTGTCTTGTAGAAGAGCTAAGAAGGTGCTATGTACAATAAGTGTATAAGCAAGCCTATGTGTAAGAAGCAGGACTTTACAGAGAATTGTTGGATTTGAGAAACCTGAGAGAATGAGAACTGTCCAGAAGGAAACAGATAGTGTGAAGACAATATTTGCCCAGTTTTCACCATTCTGAATATTGGAGTCATGACTGCTCTTCTGGGTGTTTAAAAAATGCAGCTACTTCTAGATAGTACATTAAAATAAGCTGATATTTTCACAAGCAGTGGTTCAGCTGGAAGAGCTGTGGGAATTTAAAAGTGAAAGCTGATTCTAAAATTATTTATTGAAATTTTGAAGTCTTGGACATGGAAGGCTAGCTAGCATTGTCTTCCAAAGTGACGCTCTCAGGTCTGCTGAGAATAATTGGCATCCATCTTACTTGGGAGTATCTGCTACTGGCTGCTCATGAGCATAATATGGAAGGTAAAATTATTAGAGTAACTGGATTACTGATCAGTCTAGCAGTTTGTACATTATGGAAGAAATAAGCGTGAACAATAGGAAGTGGAATGATCTTGTGTTTTGAGTAAATCTGGTTGAACTAATCTTGTTCTTCAGCATGCAGTAGTGGGAACAGATTATAGGAATGTGCTTTAGAAATCTTAATTCTTAAAGCTGTAGAAATCTTTATTCTTTTAATACATCTAAAGCAGAAAGCTGTATAAAATGAACTGGAATTGAGTTTTTGCTTGGTGTAGACTGTTAGTAAGTTTGCAGTGTGAGCATCATAAACATCAGTTTGGGAAATTGCCAGTGACAAATGAAATTGTGTTCCAAAGGAATGAAACTTTGCATTAGAAACATGAGTGAATTTCTTTTATGTATGCTAAGTTTTCCTTTCACATTGTTTTTAACAGTTGGTGATATGGTTAAGGTACTCCATCTAAATTCACCTTGTCTTTTGGTAAAACACACTGACTTTTACAAGGAAAATGTGAAAGGAGGCTTTTTTTCATGATAATAAGACAAATTCTAATACTTGAAACTTATGGTTTAGATATATTTTAAGAAAATGAAAAAGGTATTTTTTTTTTTTAAACTTTATAGCTTTGCTGATGCATGGGAAAATGATATGGGAGTTCATCCTTTAAAGTTTCCATCAGAAACATGTTTGGAATTACTGCTAATGCTGGGTTTGAGCACCGCATCTCTTCCACCTTCGCTTCGATGCATGAACTCTTTTCAGGTAAGGAATAGGTGCTATTTCAGTATAAAGGTGTTACTTTTAGGAGAAAGAGAGATTCCTGGGGCCCATAAACCCTTTCAGGTTTATAGTCTGTGGTTACATGACTCTCCATTATATTAAATATAGCAATGGATGACTTCTTGTAGTGCTCAGTTTCTTTCAATTGTATTAAATTTACATCAAGGCAGGAAATGTCATTGGATCTTTAAACAATGAATCACTGTTTAAATTAAATTAGATGTTTAAAGAAATTTCATCAACTTAGGCTGGAGAAGTTAGAATCATTATATAAAATTTTGTTGGCTTAAAAAAACAATAAAAATCTTCAACAAAAAGTAAAGATTTCCAGTGGTGAAAACCTATAAAATTTGGAGTGAAGCATTCAGAGTTTTCTCCAGTGTTCTTCTGTATGTTACTCACAGAAGCACTCACAGAAGTTTTCCTAAGAAAACATTGTTGCAGGCATGTTACATTGTGATATGTATCTATTATGTGTCTGGAGACTAGGATTTTTACAAATGCAGTACACAGAATTCACGATGATATTTTTACGATGCTTCTGTCTTCCCTTGTAGTTACATAATCCATCAGTTGTGTATTGATGCAAATCTAAAGTAACCAGCTGTTGAGCAGTAAGTGTAACTGAATCTGTGTTTGTTTTGGCAGCTATAGAAGAATCATTGTCTTAGTGGGACTGAGTGTCCTAAACAGTTTGTAACATGAAATCAGGTAGCTTTTGTTTGTCCATACTTCCTATTTTTAGTTAAGGCCTGTTTAATTAGTGTTCCTGAGTTATGTTTACTGAAAAATAATGTTATTGTAGAATTTTGGAGCCAGAAAGAACATGGACATAAGCCAAAATCAAGTAATAGATTTTAGTGGAGTTACACTGATGTACAACTGCTGAAAACTCCTCTAGATGTTAGGAAATAAGTATGCACCTGTATTATCTGCTCACTTTGTGTCTTGTGAGCTTGGAAACGGGGGATCTGTGTATGGTAAACATTTGGGTATGACACTAGCCATTGATTGTTTCAACATGTTATTTTAATACCCGGGGCAGAATTGTTATTCTTTTGTCCATTCAGAGGCCATAAAATTGAAGAATCTCCTGGATACTAACACAGTGAGATTGCAACAATTAGTAATTTCAAGAATTGGCCAGTACTAGTTATCCATGCAGTTGAATGGTCCGTATATTTCCTATTAAGAAATCAACATTTTTGTTGTCTAATCCAGCAGGATGTATTTCTTGTCCATTACATTGCCAGTAATCTGTGGTAAAATCTTCTCTGCTTTACACATGATAGATTAAATAGGAGTCTCTTCGTGTATGCCAAAGCTGTATGTCCTACATTGTTTCTGTATGCACTCAGTCCCAGGTTGTGCATTCAGGATTCCCTTTAATTTGTGTGTTGGGGTAGAGGTAGGAAGTGATAAATGGCTGTCAAGTATGAAGTCAGGTATGAATAAGTAAACTCAGGAAGGGTTTTTTCTTGGAGTACACAGAATATCAGAGTTTTCTTTTTCCTTGTCATTCCGTCCATGATTGTGCTTGATTGCTCCTGAGTCATTTTAGCTTTGTGAGGCTGTCTCTGTAAAGGAACTGTCACCCTAGAGGCACATGTGCAGAGCCTGGAATTGAGCCAGGCATAGGGTTATGTCAGCTGTGGAGTGGGAAAGCCCCATGCATCCCCTGGAAACCCTCTGACTATGGCCTTGCAGCCCCAGATTTCCATGGAACAGATGAAGGCAAACGTCACAGTGCTTTGCTAAACCAAAGGGAATGGTGTCTTCCAGCACCAGCCTGGGCAGACTGTGGTTTGCCCACCTGTGTGCCAAAGTTGGTGATGTGACAATGTCCAGTTTTGGTTGCAAACAGAATTTCAGGCTGAAGATACTATATTTTGAGGTGATTCCCAGGGTCTGTGCTTTTATAGCAACACACAAGGTAAAAATTCATAGTTTTTGAAAAGCCCAAGTTCTGAAACCTGCTTTACTAAGGTAATGTTACATTCTGCCAAGTGGGAGGAAAGGAAGATGGCTTTTTTGATAAACTTCTGTGACTCCAACTGTCATTCTCCTTGCCAGAAAGTCAATATCACCAAGTGTTTGTCCTAGAGGGCAAACACTGTCCAGGAAAATATTGGTTTGTTTATTTTTATCCTTGCAAACCTTGTTTAGATCTCAGTTTGTGAATCCAAACAAAGTTTGCCCAAGCTTTTCACTGATGCTTTACAGTGGTCTGTCAGCCTTAGAATTTTTTTTTCTGGCTTGTTTCATTCTACTCATGTTCACTTTCTGTACAGCAAATATTAGAATTACTGGTCCTAGTTTTTCTGTATTTTTATTGGGAAAAGTTGGAAAGATCTGCAGACAGCTTGAATGATGATATTTAATTGTGCTGTTTCCTGAGCGTAAGATCCCTCTTCATCCAAAATAGTGAAGATTATGAGTCAAACAGGGAGTAACAAAAGGACACTAATTGAAAACTGATATTTCATGTATCTTACTGGAGTAATAGCAAAACAAAAACTAGTTTTGTTTTATTTTGTTTGAGACATATTTCTGGCAGTAGCCTAGAAAAAAAATTGAAACATTGTAATTCTGTATTACAATAAAACTATTTGAACTGAAAATAATTGCAGAGTTTCCTAGTATGACACATGGCAGCTATATTTGTGGTGATCTAAAAGTTACAGTTTAACATCTGATACTGTGTCAGTATAGCTTTTAAAAAGCCTATTGTTTTAAATTAGGTAACCAAAAATGATCTCAACCACACCCGTGTTTTTGAGAATGTATTTTCTCTCTCAATTATATTACAATACTGCCAAAATTCTAGTTGGTATACATATGCATTGGATGTAATAAGCACACAAAGGAAATGCTTAGTTGCTAATAATCTGTAATAAACTCTGTTCTGCCTTGTGCTCCAGAACTGCTCTCTGGGACTAGCTTAGCAGACTCCTTATCTGTGCTGAGACATAAATTACATTTTATTTTCCAGTGGTGTGCTACTGCTTAGTAACATAATATTTGAAATCACTTTTCAATTCCGTTTTGAGCCTGTAAAGATCTTTCCGTGTGATTTATGTAGCTGGAGGAGCCTGGAAGAGAGCAGCAGCAGAAGAGTATGTTATATAGCTCTCTGCTGAGTTTAAGGTGCTCACTGCAGCCAACTTTTAAGCTTCCCAGTCTGTTGATTCTAGTTTTTAGATTGTCTTTGGCTCATCTCTCATTTCAGCTGTGCAATTGCATTGACATTTTTCTGGTGTACTGTAGAGAGTTAAATCTTGGGAAGCTTGAGCCTGGAAACTGAGGGACCAAAGTGGATAGATCACTTCTTGTTGGTAGATCGCTGCCCCCAGGTTTACTGGAGAACATGTTTTTTTCAGCCCTGATTTGTTCTGTCCCAGGCTTGTAATCCCTCACCCATACTTAGGATGTCTCAGGTCAAGGGAATTGAATGAGGCACTTGATACTTATCCTGGAGCAATGAAAAAAGCAGTAAGAAGGAAGAGAGTAGTTTGATGCTAGAAGATTAATTTTGTTTTAGATTGCTTTTGCTCTGAGCATTGTTTTGCCACTTTTGCTTCAGCTCCATTACACTGCACAGAAAGCTGTGTTACCTTATTACACTCTTAATCTCTATGGCTCTCCACCCACCCAAGCTGTCAGCCCTTTGCTTTAGGAATGGTTGAGCTTTACTTAGTGTATTATTCTTAATACTTGCAAACACTTGTAGCTAGCACTCACTTGAGTTATCGTGTACTTTATCACAGAACTGCTCAGCTGCTACTTCTCAGCACAGTCTGGGAGGATGTTTTGGTATTTTAGAGCCTACGGCACAAAACAGTTAACACAAGGAGGTGCTTTAAAGTGACAAGTAATCTCTGATGTGTTTTTCTAACCTTATCTCGTCTTTCTCTGAGTTCAAGCACAGTAAACAGAAAATGTCCTAGATATTGAATTTTTATGATGATAAATGAGGCTGTTGAGCAAATTTTATCTCACTGCTGTTATTGTGGGAAACCACAATAGTGGTACTTCCCCTCTCAAGGCGCTATTCATAAGGCCACAGACTGTAACAACAGTTTTAGAGTTAAACAGATTATGGTTTTATTTTTACTTTTACAGATGCATGACATTGAAAGAAGATTGCGATTAAGAACTTCTGAGCCATTTCAAAATTTCATTTCAAATAGCTCTTGATAGTCTTTGGAGCTGCACCCAGCGCCACTGGTAGCTTTCAGCACACTGTCTGCTTTGGTTGAGAAATAAAGCCAGTGTTTAAGAAAAAAACAAAAAATGTTCATTCTACCATCGCAGTAAGAATTCCTGCCAGTGTCTCTGAAAGGAAAACTCATTTGCTTTCAAAAAAATGAGGAAAACAGAGGTTTCTCATAGAATGCCTGTTCTCTGTCATTTAAGTTGTCATTTAAAGTCTCTAAATAAAGTACAGAAAGCTTGCTAAAGGCAACAAGTTTAGTGATATAGACAACAAGTTGCTCAGAAAACATAAGAATGAACAAATACAGTATTCATTATAGTTTAATGGCTCTAGTGTATGAGTTTCTAAAGACTCAAGAAAAGCAAAATGTAAACTTACTGCTGTCTCTCAGGTCTATGCATGGTCCAAACTAAAGTATCCCTTGATATTTGGTGTTTTTTAATATTGATACATATGTTTTTATGTTTGTCTGTATGTATAAAAAACACTTTCAAAATCATTTATGAGAAGAGGTAGTTAGCTGCAGATAGGCAACACCTGCAGATGCTCCTGTGTTTTCTGACAATCCTTTTTGAAGCAAACAGCTGAGTAAAATTTAGGAAAATCAGCTCAGTTTAGCTCAGCTCAGTTTAGCCCAGCTCAGCTCAGCTCCTCCATTTGTTCTGGGCATTTGGAGCTGGGGAAGATGCACAGATTATTTAAGATGGATTCCCCTCCCTTGGAGCACTGTCAAACAGCAACAAAGACAGGTTCAAAATTATATGTG